GTTCGGGGAAGTTTTTGATGGACTCTATCTTTTCCTCCGTAGGCGTAATACCATTCGCGGTTATGTGGTGTCCCAGAAACTGTATAGAGGAGACACCGAATATGCACTTTTTGGGGTTAATGACGACTCCATATTGCTCAAATCGTTGAAATAAGATGGTGAGGTGATCAGTATGTTCTTCGGGCGACGAGCTAGCAATTAAAACGTCATCGATATATACAAATACAAAGTCCAAACCTTGTGTGACCTGATCCATGAAACGTTGGAAGGATTGTGCTGCGTTCTTTAGGCCAAATGGCATGCGGAGAAATTCAAACAAACCGAAAGGTGTGATGATGGCCGTTTTTTCGATATCCTCTTGGGCAACTGGTATTTGGTGATAGGCCCTGACCAAGTCTACTTTAGAAAAAATGGTTTTTCCGTGTAATGTCAGGGAGAAATCATGAAGATGAGGAATAGGATAACGGTCGGGAACTGTGGCATTGTTTAAATGTCGGTAATCCCCACATGGCCTCCAATCATGATCAGCTTTAGGCACCATGTGTAAGGGCGAAGACCAAGGACTATTGGAGGGTCTGATGATGCCGAGCTGCATCATGTGTTCAAATTCTGCCTTGGCTGCTGCCAATTTGTCCGGGGGTAATCTACGGGGACGAGCACGAACTGGTTGACCCGTAGTAACTATCTTGTGAGTAACTGTGTGAGGGACGTCCTCGATGTTGTACGACGGCTTAAGAATTTTAGGGAAACGGTGAAGTAGGGAGGAAAAAGGGCAATCTGCTGGTCTTTCAATACTGATATTATAGACAGAATAGCTGGAGATAATTCCATGGATCTTTAGATGGGTGTTGTTATCAATCAGTTTTTTATTGTTGACGTCAACTAACAGGTTGAAATTACTCAAGAAATCTGCTCCGAGGATGGCGTGACTGACGTCGGCTACTATGAAAATCCATGTGAAACGCCGACGTAAACCTAGATCCAGTATGAGGGATTGCTCTCCATACGTCTGTATGCTTGTGTGGTTAGCTGCCCGGAGAGACAGTTTTCCGGGTGTCCGTGTAGATCGCCTGGATAGTGAAGGAGGGATTACGCTAACTTCTGCTCCCGTGTCTACCAGGAATAAAGTGTCTGAAGTTTTATCCTTCACATAGAAGAGGCGACTTGTTTGCTTGCCAGTAACAGCTGTCGCCATCACTGTCTGGCTGAGGCGTTTCCCTGAGCCTGGTTGGCTTCGCTAAAGCTGCACGGTTTTACACATTTCAGGGCATGACGTCCAAACTTCCAGTGATACCAGCATATATTGCTATCCCGAGAAGACGTGTAAGAACGCTGTCGTGAGAAGGATCGTCGTCGTGATGGTGACCTTCTTTGTGAACTCCGTCTCCGGACTTGTCGATCAGACTTATTAGTTTCCAACTTGTCAATCCTTGCCGCTAAGTCTGCAATGGCGGCGAGTATCGGTGTGTCTGCCGTGGGTGTGGAATGACACGGTGTGGCACTATCAGATGCTACGTGACTTATGGTGTTATCGGATAAAACATCCATAATACTATCTGCCATGTCACTTAGTTGGTCTAAGTCATACGACTTTCCTGAGATGATTAAAATTTGCTGGACATTTCTAGGTAAACGTTGCAACCACATCTGTTTCAGCACTACCTCGTCTACTTTATGATGTCCGATTAACTGGCGCATGTGCCTGAGCAGCTGGGATGGTTTACGTGGGCCTAGTTCACAGCCTGTGAGCAATTGTTGGATTCTTTTCTCATCCGACAAACTGGTACGTTGTATGAGGAGGGCTTTAAGTTTATCAAATTGATGTTCCGTCGGAGGATCTTCGATGAAATCGCTGATTTCTGTCAATACTGACGGAGGGAGTTCTGCCAGCACCATACCATATTTGGCTATTTGGGACTTAATGCCCCGTGCTTCTAGCAACGGTTCAATTACCGCAAACCAAATCCTTGGTTCTGCGAAACCGTATTGGGGTAAACGAAAATCAGTGATGGCATTTATTGTGGCATTTGTCTCGCTATTAGTTGTCTGCTCGTTTGATGTACCGGACTGAGGTGATGACATTATAAATATGAGGTTATTGGTGCAAATTAGGATACAAATATAAACCACACACAAAATCACAATGAATATACAAAATAGCAAAAATAAGAATATGAATATGCCAAAATAATCCGTGTTCTTATCGGGCTCACCAATTAATTTGTAGGGGACTAATATTAGAGTTCACTAACATTCCAAATATAAAAGTAATAATCCAAGTCAGTGGAGTGTTAAATCACAATATATTACCAAAAATACAGTGACGAGTTATAGCAACAAAAAGGATTACTTGGATATAAAGTCTAAGTCCTCGGCTACAAATTAATTATATAATCCACGGGCACGTTAATTGTTTGGACTGCGTCTGCTGTAGCTGCTGTGTTCCGGTTGTAGAAATGTCTTCGGTTGAGAGTAGTAGGCTCCTACAATAAATCCGAAGTATACAACACGGTGTGAGTGGAGCAAGTAAGCAGAAGTGACCAGGGAGAAGACGAAGTCTCCAACAGCAGAGTGTATTTTTCAATTGTACACGGAAGTTATGTATATTTCAACAAGAAGCGTTTTAAACAAAAATTATGTACAATATCTCGAATTTATACAAGTAACCAAAAAGTGTACAATCACATTGTTACGTACTCCAATATATATATATATATATATATATATATATATATATATATATATATATATATATATATATATTCGATTATAGTTTCAACCTGATTCATGCTATCTGTTATATGTGAATGATATCTTTAAAAAAGAGAACACGAAGTTCAGCAAAGATATCATTTCGGCGATTTTCATTTTCAAAAGCTGTACAATCGCATTTAAATACATAGTTTTACATGGATACATAATTACGACGGCGAATAAAAGGTGACAAATATTTTCAACTAGATCTTGCTTACGAGAGGCTTAGAAACAAAATTAACACAGGATTAAAACGGATAACATGTGTATAAAAAATGAGCATGGAAACAAAAATTGAAATAATAATTTTAACTTGAGATGGAAGCAATTTTTGTGTTTCTAAGGCTCTGTTACGTGCGTTATTCCACTAAATCAGCGTACACGTATTTCCTAGTACTTCTTCACGTTTATTAATGTGCATAGACGTTGTGGCTACTCGACGCCTACAACGTAAAATCAAAAGGCACTTGCGAAGAGTACGATCGTGTATTATAGCAGCAGTCAAATTTTAAAATTGCGTCAAGGTAATATTCAACAGTAAATTGACAAATGTTTGCGAAGTACATATAAAATCGGTCTGTGTACACATATAATACAAGTATACAAATTGGATTAAAATGCATGTTTATAGCTGGTATAGGGGTACTACAGCTCTCGTAATTTATATTCACACCTTCTAACTCGCATCTCAAGTTAAAATTATTATTTCAATTTTTGTTTCCATGCTCATTTTTTATACACATGTTATCCGTTTTAATCCTGTGTTAATTTTGTTTCTAAGCCTCTCGTAAGCAAGATCTAGTTGAAAATATTTGTCACCTTTTATTCGCCGTCGTAATTATGTATCCATGTAAAACTATGTATTTAAATGCGATTGTACAGCTTTTGAAAATGAAAATCGCCGAAATGAACTTGGTGTTCTCTTCTTTCTAATGTCCTTATGGGTGTTTTCCACGAACTGATATCTCTAAAACATACAATTCTAATGACACTTTTTTGAAAATCTTCATATGCTGAGAATGGTGTACTGTATATATGCGATTTTTCAGCTTTATTCTCATAATACTGAAATGATTAACTCTCCTCTGAATGCCTTTTCTTTTATCGGAACTAATTTTTTGATAACGTGACGCCATCATAGTGTAACTGAGTCTTCAGAAAATGTCATCATTCTTGTGCGGCTGCTGATGGATTGGGATTCAACTGAAAATATTATCAACAAAGTTTGAATATTCAAGAATACTCAGTAGGATTAGCAGGTCTATACTGGATGTCAGCATTCACAATCGCGTAATATTAGTTACATCTGAGTTAATAGAGATATTGAACTATACTACAGTGAGCCTTAGCTACCATTCAATAAGCCCCTTGAATCCACTTTATTTAACTGAACACTAGAATGCTGTTTAATGTTTATAATGTTCATATATGTGAATGAAATGAAAGCAAAAAGATACTTTGCATCTACAGACATTACCAACAGCATTCTCTTGTAGATATGGTTTATTTCAAGTCTGATCACAGACTGATATCGGTGAGAGAACCACTGGGCAGTTGTTTCGTTATAGTTTTGAGACTCCTCAGAAATATGCACCCACCGAAGTTCTAATCAAAGACCTTCCAGTGAGAAGTTGACCTCGTACACCACTCAGCCACTGGGAAGAATTGGTTTTCCTTGATTATCTAATTGATACTAATCCGTGATCAAACCTCAAACAAATCAAATTCTAACAAACTGGCACCTGAAAATATTTTTCTGTTAAAAACGTCTACTAAGTTACGTACTGTTTTTGATCCTTGACTTACTTATGAGTCCTATAATGTTAAGAGGCTAATGTAATCAAATCACCTGTATGAACTGAAAGAAAAAATGATACTTTGTCTGCAAAGTTTCTTTCTCCCTGATGGAAAGCTCATTTTACTGACAAGATGGATTATCTGACCCAAAAATATTCACTTCATCGTATTTTTGTACACTCTTTACTTTCCACTAATATTTCCTTAAATGAAAAGACTACAGTCTATTTGTTATATAGACTTCATTAATAGATATCTCAATTCATTTGTGTGTGTGTGTTTTTTCCGGTCATTCTTTATGTCGAAATACTTTCTCTCAAGTCAGTCCAGAGACAACAACGGGTTACTATAAATAAAAAAAAAAATTCTCCTTTCACATGAGTTGAATAACAGTTTAGCTTTTGAAAGTATCACATTGGGAACATCATCAGCCAGTGAATGGTTTTGGGCTAGAGTTAACTGAAAAGAAATTCCCACTTAAAATTTCCCTAGAAAGCAAACAAACTGACTCTGAAATCTCAGAAATACAATTAAATTGAATTTCTTTGGTTATATATATAAATAATCACAGTTTTATTCATTACATATTTGTTAAAAAAGAAAGAAAACAAAGAAAGAAAATCAAAGAAAATATTCACTGCAGGGTAAAATTAAGTCTGAATACATATATTCATCCAAAAAGCATATTATTTTAAGATGTTAATTTCAAATAACTCTTTGCTACGGTTAATCATAGTTATGATCAACCAAAAATAGTTTTCTAATACAACCTTCCAATTCTGGATCTTTTACCAAATTCATCATATTCTCATCCGCGAAATAATCACTGCTGGTATTCGCCGCCGCTGGAAGAAACGGTCTCATCAAAGTTAAAAAATAACGAATCCATAATAGCTCTTCCTTTGTATATTCTCCGGACGATTCTTGGTATAGAGGAAAAATAATAAAATTGAAGTTTCAAACATATTTAGGCATCTGATGACATATGTAATCTTGATTAAACTACCATTTTTACGAGTTGATCACGGATTGATATCAGTTAGAGAACCACTGATAACCAGGGAGTTCTGGACAGCTGTTTCATCCTAGTTTCGGAATCATCGGCAGTACGCATCCACCATTATTTTATTTCTTGAAGCGTTAAATATTACTCAAATAATTAGACTAGTTGTGAGTCAGTGGTACAGCAGTAAAATGCTCTCCAACCACACAGGTGGTTCGGGGTTTGATCCCTGACCAATACACTCCTCCTTTGCATCGTTAACCAGTAATAAGACTGGTAAAGGTCAAGGTTATACATGAGACTAGCAATCGCATCTCGTAAAAATAAATACCACTGCTACCCAAACTTCAAGCCTCCAGCTTGAAGCCTTATATTCCATTGAGAATGTAACGGAATAAAATAAAAAATAACGATTGGACTAGTATTAGATACATGATCAGTCGTTTATTCGCTGTTAGTCAATTTTGGTTTGTTAAATGTAGGCACAGCAATATTTTACCCTGGAAGACGTTTTTAGTTAGCTTTGAGTTTGCAGTGGAGCATGTGACTTCAAGCTTTCGCTCTGAAGTTTCGGTAGCACTGGTGGTCTTTCCTTACTGGATGGGGCTGCTAACGTCACGCCCTCTTTCTCAAGACTATAACCGGCTGAGGAAGGTAAAGGAGTCCGCCCTGCGGGACTCGAGCCCTGGTCGACGTGCATAGTCAGCCAGCATTTCACCGCCAGCCAGCACCTTATAAATGATAAGCTTACTAAAATATGGTATATGTAGAAAGTGCAGAGAATAAAGCACCAGGAAACCACTGCTGTAAAATACCTTTATTCAGACGTGTGTATAAATAATGTGTGATGTGTTTTGTTTTAATCGTATAATCCTTTAAGTTACTAACTTAATGAATTCATAATGTGAAATATTCCCATATCATGAATTAAAAGTCAATTTGAACGAAGAATATTCTTTTCAATCATTTCTCTACAGGTTCTTACAATTATAAAATATAATATTTATTGTCGTTGTAATTATAAGAACCTGAAAAGAAATTATTGAAAAGAATATTCTTCGTTCAGATTGGTTTTTAATTAATGATTTCACTCCTATGAAATCAAATTCATTAGTTTTGTTACTAAACTTTTCGATTTCAGCGTTGTTTGTCTTCTCTCCAACCTCTTTATCTATATAATTAAAAACGTTTTGTCCTGAAGATATAGGCGGTCACTGTGACATTTCCAGTCTTTCATAACTATTGCAATTTCAGTTAGCTCCTAGCAAATGAGTGCTTATAAAGCTTAATGTTATCACCTTTTACCAAAGATATGGTGTGTCATATTTTGCCAGTAATTATCAAAGGATGTGCAAGTGTAGTAAGTTCTGCTTAATCTAAAACACCAATTAATATATAGTTACATCACTCAGCTGCTTTTTGGCTAGGGAATTATTTTTGTCTAAATCTCTTTATGAGTTATAATGCAAGTATACTATACCGATAAGGAAGAAACTTTACACACAAGGGGTCAAAGTTCAAGCCAAAGAAACAATCACTATCCAACACAAGTAACCTAGAAGGTGTGAAAACACACAAAAACAACCAATCACGTCCAAGGTCACCAGGAGAGATGATTAATAAACTCGTGGAGAAATCTAAAAGCTTACTTCAAATTGAAGTATGCGCTGAAAATGTCATCTAGTAGGGTGATGAAAGCTTCGCAAATCAACCATCCAGCTCAGAGAATACAACCGCATCAAAATCATCCACCTGAGCTACAAATCTTCTCTATCATAACTAAGCGACTAGGTCTGTTATTTTATAACAAGTTTCCATAGTAAATTATGATATAATGTATAGGACTATCACAGTGAAAAGTCAATAATAAACGAAAAGTTTTGAATTCAGTTCATTGCTATTCATTTAAAAATTTATATAATAATCGGTTGGTCTTGAAAGTGGTTTCACACAGTCATCAAAAGGAAGAAAACCAAGGGGTTTTGATTCATTACTGTTCTCTAGCAAAATATCTGTCGAAGAAACCGCTATTTATGAGTGTTGAATTTAAAGGTGATACCGCAGCTGAGATCTTGAAGAATCGCTTATCCAGATCACTGGGGAAAGCCTTCTTTATGGGTGAGCTACGTATCTATTTCTACAGCCGATAAATGATCAATGGATATGTGAAGGATAAACTGCCGCTTCGGGCCACCAGCTAGTGTGGGGCTAGTTATATTGGCTGCACAAAGCGCACGCTTTCCAAACGCATCTCTGAACATTATCCGGCATGGTCAGCAAAGGGACAATGCAAGACAGTTACTAGTTCAATTCTCGAGCATTTGGTAAACTCAGGCCACGTAACTCCACCAGAGTCGTCTTTCAACATCATCTACAAAGTGAAGCCAAGTGGTACAAAGGGCGTCATGTTTCGGCTTTTGTGTATGGCGGAGGCGCTGGCAATTCATCAATGCAACCCTGAACTCTGTATACAGAAAAAGTTTGTCCAGTCTCTTATTCTACTTTGGTCTTAAACTCTTCACTAATCGTTCCCTGTAAAAAAACATTTTGACTTTTCTCTTCTCTTGTTAAAATTTTTAATTTTACTTCTAGTTGGCTTTTGCTTTAATAATGTATTCACTATTATCACTCTCATATGCTCCTTTTCTATATTTTCAAATCCTCTTCACACTTGTTAAATTGACACTCAAATACCTTTATTCTCACTCAAGAGCAATTTTAACCTTATCAAATTTCTATCATTGTGCCGTTGAGTACCATGTAATTTACAACTTTTAACTTTTAATTTTCACTTCTAAAGCCACTTGTGATTAATTATATCAATTATGTCAACCCCTATTACTCAATAATAGGTATAAATACGACTGTACAGCCTCTGAAGATGATTTCGTCGATAAAGAAAATTTTCTTCGCTGAATCTGTCTTTTATTTTCTTCATGACTTAATAGCATTCGTTTATTTCAAACAGAATTAAAACAAGTGGTAGTTGGCTGTTCTTTACTTACGTCCCTTTTAATCATTTAATCATGATTCGGAATTGACAGTCTAGTATGAAAATTAACTTATGCCTGTATAATACATCTTATTCTCAGCCAGTTTGTTTTTTATATCTTATTGGTCTTTTGGAGTGCAAAATATGAGATTTATTCTATTCCCCTGAACACTGTATTCTATAGAATAATATTTTTCAAGAAAAACTTTGTTTCCTTTTGTCTGCTTCCCATGTTACATTCTACTTTGACATTCAGAAAGAAATATTCAATCAGGGGATCTATATATATATATATATATATATATATATATAATATCTGAATAGCCAGGCTCCGTGATGAAGGTTTACATATAATCTATTATTTCACATTAGATTAGTCACTTTGATAGTGTTCCAGAATTCAGTATTCCTGGTACATAATAATAATATAATAATAAATAATATAGTCGGGAATAAGTTTATTTACTATAGGATTTTTATTTCAGCATTGCTGTGTCCTTCCGATTTTATCCCTTAGATATTACACAGATTGTGATTAGTCATGTCCACAGTTTTTCAGTTAGTAGTACTGTCTGACATTTCCAAAGAAAAACTGTGAACCAGTGTCTAGAAGTCGTGCACCATGATTAATAATAGTTCAGACTTGGAGCGGGGTGAAAAAGTTGGCAGAAAACCGAACGCAATGGAGACGCGCGCCTGAAGCCCTATGTTCCTCTAGGAATGAAAGGATATAATAATAATATAATACTAAAATGTGTGATTAAAATCTATTTGCACATTTATTTTTTCATTGGCCATCATTATCTTTCATTCCAACTGTATGATAAAGTATAACTAAAGTAAGAGTGATGAACGTGTTCATTTCATATTATATGCTTGTTTAATATAATTCATCATACGAGCAGGGAGTCAGCCTGGAATTATACACTTGAATATCGTGTTTCCCTTATTCTCATCAATAAGCTTACACTAGGAATTGAATTACACTCAACTTCTTACTCAGCTTATCCGGATATACTACTGTACTTAAAAGCATTGTAAAATTAGCAATAAGGTGGATGAAAGTTAGTAATGATGTGGGATGTTTGGTAGTAATCATCAGAATGCCTTGTATCTAGATTTCGTACTTATTGGCACTCGTCAGCAGGGTGTGTCTTAGACCTCAAAAGAGCTGATCTCTCCGCAGAGAAGTTAGTGGTCTTCATCCGAAACTAATCGATGTTTCAACCATATTCAGACAGCCAATGACATACATATATATCATCTAAACAAAGTATTAGCAGGTTGTACTATTTATTCGCAATAATTTATTCAATTTTTTTTATCATTTACGTCAAGTTCCTCTAATAGTTTATGAGTTCTTTAATAGAGTTATATGTTGTATGAGTATTTACATTTTCCAGGTAAACAGTTAAGGAGTGGTAACGGTTATCGAAAACAGGACTGATAGGATTCTTTAGTTAATCACATCAATGTTATCACCTATGCTCCCTAGCAGACTACAAATGTCACTATGAAATTCCAATGAAATAGAAACCTGGATTGTACATGAGTAGAGGCGCAACTAACATTAGATCTAATCGTGTTTTGAACGAGTGTTTCCTTCAGTTTGCATCGTTACCATCCTTTTAAAATGAGTGTGTCAGCTAATGTCAAACAGAATAAATTAATAGAAAAGAGAAATGACTAACATAATGTAGAGGAGAATAATGTAGGCTAAAAACAAACTGTATTACCTGGCCGATATGGTCTACGACCTGGAAAGGTACTTGCAAACTGATAAAGGCTTAAAAGTGTAATCCAAACGAAAATAGCATGACGCAACATCATTGACGAATAGAGACAACAGAAGTAGAGCTAAGCCTGATCACGCTCTCCCTCTCTCTTTATATACACATTTTCAATGAGCATTTAATTATTTTGAGATTTTAATCAAGCGTAAATTTTTTTTTATCGATGGTATATTATAAAATATTTTTAATGTTTCAATAATTGATAGATAATGTTTCAAAAATTATTTCTGCCAGTTAAGAGTTAGAAGGGGGTTGAGAAAAAAACAACGCAATCATTTTGAACGATTCTACAGACTGAAACAATGCTATGCTGCGTTTACGAAAAATATTTATCTGAATATTTATAAAGACTCTTGTTACCTTCACTGTTCATTCTTATTATCTTTTTTTTAAAAAAAGGTAGTTTGGTTTGTTGTTTATCAGATTACTAACATTTGTGATCTTACACATTTATGACATTGTGTTTTTCTAATTGATACTTTTTAACTGTTTCAAACAATGCAATGTTGCTAGGATATGAGCGTTGCATAAATGATAAATTGTGCATTTTGACATACACTTATTTTATTTCGCTATTTTATTTATTTTCTTCTCTTTAAACTGTTAAATGGTGTTTAATGTAAGAATGCTTTGAAATTACGAGAAAGTGAAAATGTGATCAGCAAAAAGAAGGCAGTAAACTGATCTTTAGTGGCTTTCAGGGCAAAGTTCAACAATAGCGTCCCACGAATGCGAACGCATGCTAGTTGTTGTCTGATGGCAACTGTAATCATCATAGCTGAAATATCAACACTGTTCACCAACTAAGCAGCAAATTTCACCCAGATCATGTTTTTAAGTACTGTTTGGACAAAGTGGTAATAGCTTGTTAGGGTTAGGATTAGGGTTAAGTTAAGCATTGGGTTAGGGTTAGGATCAGGGTCATAATTAGGCTTAAATTTACGGTTAGGATAAGGGTTGCAATTAGGGTTAGTGTTAAGTCTAGGGTCAGGATTAAGGTTAGGGTAACGATTAGGGATACATTTACAGTTGATGTTATTGATTTCAATTTGGTTTCTTATCCACATTTTCCAAGTAATTAGTCGTCGATCCTGATACTGGAAACCAAAGTAATTCAACCGAGGGCTTCGGCGAAGACTACACAACAGGATAAGAGACATAAACAATTCAGAAAAACAGCTCATCTTCAGTCACCTCGGTGACTGCAAGTACAGAAACTAGTCGAACTTAGCAACTGATACTGATCATTATAACTGGGACTCATTATTAAGTCATGTCAGAGAAAGACACCCAGTTTACTGTTTTTCATGCATTTTCTTGTAAAAAATACCTCATTTTCTGTACAAAAGTCACTTATTGTTATGATTGGTCGGCTGAAGGTAACTTGTGTGTTCGCATCCCATGGGATGCTATTGTTGAACTTCACCGTTTTCAGTAGGAACTTCAACAAAATACTAGGGTTAAATAGTCAGCGAGACATTAAGTCAGTTGGAATAAAATAAAACAGGGATAGCCGAATGAGAATGGTCATGATATACAAGTATAGGTAGGCCAATAAACATCAGTGGCAATGACGGTTTACTTTTAAGGTTTTTGAATTGCAAAGTTGACCAATGTAAATAACCTAGACAGACTACAAATGCCTTCAATGTAATGTTAATTTATTATGCATAGGTAAAAGAAGAAACTAAAACACTTCACTGATGGTGACATAACAGTGGAATTATGTTACACGTGTCACTTTATATGAGAGATAAACTTGACTTTATATTTGAATATATCTCGCTGATACATTATCTGTTATTTCAGTGGTGATCTGCCAATCCAGCTACATCCCAGATAGTCTCATCAACCTAATTCCATCCTGCCCATTCAGTATGACCAGGACTGACAAACAGACACCTGCCTAAGCAGTTGGTGCAGTAATAAACGAACAGTTATGCATTATTCTTTCACATAAAAGTACCGGATTAGAATCTAGAGTCTACCAGTTCGAAATACCCCTCCACCCAGTCCTTCGTACACTTTTTAACATCACGCACTACATAAATATAGATAGGAATGAAACCATAAAAAGTACAAGAAGCTCAGTGATGATATCTTTTCAGTGATTTTATCGTCAACAGCTATACAATCTCATTTATATATATAAGTACACATAAATACAATGGCTTTTCAATTCCACATATCAATCAAGCAGACGAAAAGTGATAATAATTTAAAACTTGACATGGAAGTAAGAATGTGTGAATATAGATTTCAAGGGGCCTGGCAGAAAAATCATGTAGGATTAGAAAAGAGTTGCTTAATATGTAAAATATTTTTTAATCAAAACGGGTGTGAAAGGGATGAGCATGGAAACAAATTAACATAGTAGTTTTTAAAACGGAAATGAAATAAACAAATCAAGGGAATAAAACAACAAAAACTAAGGTGTAAAACTGAATTGGATCCATGTTAAATGTAGACGTTGGACTGCTTTCTTTTGAACATACATACATACTTTTTGATGCATACGGAGAGGACTTCTGCAGTACAAAGAAGTCGAAACACGGTGCCTTTGGTAGATTTTTGTTTTCTTTGTAAATAACTGTAAATGATGAGTCAGTTGAAATGATGTGTCAGTTATCGATTAGGTGTTCACTTATGGAGATTCTGACTGAGCAAATGCTTATTGATTGTAGCCTTTGCAGGAAATCTCCAATATACTTTGAAAGGACTCCCATAGAACTACCTAATCACCTAGCTCTGGAAGAACAGGTGGAGAGATGAATGCATATTGGAGTAGTCAAATGCGGGGTTTAGTCCTTCACACTGCTTAGAAACAGTCGACAGCTTCAGAAAATCACACTAAATGTTGCTGTAGTGAACTAGAGATTCCCCTCTTTAGCATATCTGCCACTGATTCACTTGTAGTATTTTCTTTGACATTGAACTGCATTCTTATTTTACTCGACTTAGTTTCATGTTTCTCTCCACAAAATGAGGAGGTATTTTTTAAAAATTAAAAATTTGAAAAAGAGAAACTACAAATCACAGTTTCGCTGCAGTCATCAGTAAAAGACTGAATGCATTAAAAGTTACCTGACAAGACTACATTAAATAGCCAGGCCCCTATCTTGGAAGACATCAAGAAAGATAAAGCCTTCTTTAGGAATTGGAAACATTTATTTCCAGATGCGAATTTATGCCAGGACGCAAACGTTAATAAAGCAGGATTTAACGAACTCTGAAAATTTCGTTAGAACTCTTCAGCTGAATATTCTACACACGGAGATGTATAAACCACTAGAAGTCTATTGGGAGGTGTAAGACGGATAACCCAACAAACAACATTGAATCAATCATGCGAAACTACAGGTGTGAATTTTTTTCAGGTCGTGTTCCGAAATATAAGGAAAGGGAGTTTGGGAGATTAAAATTAAAATTGTAATACATGACGTTTCAGTTACATCATTTAAGTAAGCAATTAGTTATTAAACAGGGAAACTGAATATACAGAGAACGAAACATCCACACCTGTTGTTTTGCATGATTGATTCATTCTAGTTGATTCAGTTATCCGTCTTACATCTACAAGTGCATTTCTAGTGTTGTATATATCTCCGCATCCTACATACAAAGAGTTCTGCCAAAACTTGATGAATTCATTATATCCTGCCATATCAGTGTTTGTTGTTTGGTTTAGAGATGATGCGAACTGAAAGACTGTGAGGAAATGTTAATTAACAAAGAGGCAAAGCCGAGGAAACGCAGAACTAGTTACTTCAAAGGACTCTTGAATCATCTGTGTCTTCCAACGCGGCAAGAAACTCTATCAGCAAACACATTACTACTAGTGAAATCCTACCCTCCGACGAAAATAGGAATCCTGAAGGCTGTAAAGCTAATGGGAGCTAGAAGAGCAGCAGGTCCAGATGGATTCGTCTGTGACGTTGAAAACGGACTTCCGCCGTGGTTAGCAGGAAAGATACTTGCTAACTGGAAGGAAGTCTACCTTGTCAAACTGCCAAATACGGGTGATTAAAGTCTATACAAAATTAGTTATGGAAACTAAAAACTCAAAATAATTGGAAATATCGTGGTTATTTCTTCTCTAGACATTAAAATAATGTGCATCTGTTGGATGTTTGACACATCCTGAGTTAACACTATAAAAGTCTCTCTACTGTACACATCTCCTGACCCTTATCGTTTGTTCAGACTTCACTATAGTTTCATTTCTAGAGGTAACAAAATTGATGAATGTACTACAAGTAAGGGTCGAGCGGTTAGTAATTTTGCCTTACACACTGCCATTAGACTCAATCAACTGTAGTTTCACGTGTAGGAGGACCAATATGAAGTCCTTTTGATTAGAAATCTGAGCACTAGCAGTTAACGTAATTTACAAATATTCACATGTAAAAGTGAAGTTGAATTCCAAAAACGATAAAATTACAGCGTATATGGTAAAGATACATTTTTTACTGCAAACGTGATTTTAATAATCGATAAAATGAAAAGTGTATTATTAATATGCGTATTCACGATCACTTTCAGATGTAAAGCAAATGTTACGGAAAAATTACAAAACAACAAATGCCAAGGATTACTACATGATTTTATATTAACCTGTGAAAAATAAAAGAGGTACAAATGCACAAGTAAGGCAAGCTTTCAATACTGTTAAGTCTGTGTGGAGGTCAACAGCACTCAGCATCGAAAATAAGATCCGGATTTTCAACTCCAATATGAAGTCAGTGCTACTTTATGGATCAGAGATTTTTTTTATTTTTATTTATTTATTTATTTTTTTGATTACAGCTTGATTCCACACCGTATTTTTGGTACAAGTATGGAATTTTCAGCGTGGATATCGGTAGCCCAAATTTCGCAGGCCGACCATAGACATCAGGTGTGCGTTGGCGTGAGCTCGAACCTCGGACCATGTGCATGGTCGCCGAGAGTCCTGACCACTGTGCCACCGACGCACCCTCGCGTCATAACAGAGCACCTCAAACAAACTACAAACCTCCATCAACAGCTATCTTCGCTCAATACTCAAGATCAGGTGGCCAGAAAAGATCAGCAATAGTGAGGGATCTCTGGGAACGAACCAACCCAGCAGGAACCGATTGTGCAACAAATATGCAGGAAGAAATCGAGTGGATTGGCCATGCTCTGAGAAAATCATCAGGTGACATCATACTCCATTATACTCTAGACCAGTGCTGGAGTGGAAGCCTAATGAGAAGCAGTGAGTTGAGTGTCCAAGGGTGACATGGAGGAGGTCATGTGAAAAGGAGATGAAAGCACGCGGGCAGACCTGGAGCCAGGTGTAAACATTGGCAGAGAACCGAAGCCAATGAAGACGTGTGGCTATGTTCCTCTAGGGACTAGAGGAAACAATAATAATAGCAATGCGCTAATAAATAGTAAAACAGTCTTTCTGAAAGAAAAATAAATTTAAAATACTCTGTAATTTATTGGATAAGTGTGTGGATAAATGGAAAGTTGTTAGTCACTAACTGATGTTTGACTTCCAAAATAATAGATTTACAGCAAATGCCGTGTATACATGAAATAAATATTTCTTATGAAGCTTGTTTAATTTATGTCAGTACTGAAACTAATTTAAGATTACTGTGACATGTTTCTACTGCAAACAGATCTTAACATTTTAGTTGGTTGTTCTAAGAAGTGGATGCTTCTCTTCAACGTGGGGAAGTACTCAACTATGCGCATCAGCTACGCAAGTGTCAAAGAATACAACTTAGAGGACATTTCATTCGTCACATTTCAAAGGAGAATAGATTTTGATGTCGTCATAAGTCATGGTCTAAAAACCACAGCACAATGCTACACAGGCCTTTACTAGAATAGCTATTAAAGTGTTCACCACTTTATATTCGTCTCTATTGAGGTCTAAACTAGAAGACTACATCGAAGTCACACATGTTTGTTTAGAAGAGGGCTGATGTATTCTATAAAGAGTGTAAAGAAAGGCCACACATGTGATTCCTGGTATGACCAATCTATCATATGAGGAACGACCTAACGCCTAAAGTTTTCTGTTCTTATCACACTGTATACATTAAAGATACCTAAAAAATTACTATGGACCTGATCTACCTCCTACTTTCCTTTCCAGTAGATTGGAACACCTCAGAGGACATAACAGGAGAGTTCAAAATCCAAAAAGGAACATGTCTCCCACTAAATCAGTAACTCTTGAGAATGACTCCCACAAAAAATGGCATTTGCGTCCTCAAGAGATTCGTTGTAGAAGAAATCAACCAAGTACAGATACTTATTACAGAAGGAATTACTTAGGCTTGGAACATTCGGTTGTCTTCACCATAAAACTGGAAATTTGAGCGTTTCTTCTCAACTTTCTTCAACCGATAACTATCTTTAGTAAAGTTGACTAATTACAGTAGCGATTTCTTCAGATTAAGACTCAGTGGCAACAGGGGTTATGGTTGTTTGCAGTTCAGAAAGTGAATGTGCAGATGGAATGTGTTAAGCTGAGTTTGTGGACAGCAAAGTGGTAACATTAGAAATGGTCACGAATAAAGCATTGAAAGATGAAGTATTATCAAACTTCAACTGGTTATGCAACGAGAAAGTGGAAATAAATAACGCTATACACATTTCACTAGAAAGTATTTAAAATGTTTTCTGTATGACATTTGAAAAACAATTAGATCACCAAAGGGGTTTGAACTATTTTAAATTTAAATTCTGTCACAGAATCCATGAAAAAATCAAAATCTGAATATAATTCTCGAGCTCATTAGGTGGTACTAAATGAATGTTCTGAAGTTCCAGTAATAAGTCGTAGCTACTGCGGTCCACTATTTCAGAGTGAAGTGGATTCTCACCACTGGAATTAGTTGGCGGTAACAACATATCACAAATCATCAGAATTTGCGATTCACGGATTAGTGAATTTAAATCCAGTGGCCGAATGGTGATCAGACTGGTCTGGTAACCTGAAAGTCTCGTGTTCGATCCCTGTTGGGATCCCAGTCGTGTACCCCAAAAAGTCTAAAGGGTCTCTAATGTTCAACAATTCTCTAAATTATGTTGCTTTGTAATGAAATATATATTAAAATGTTTGCTTGATAATTAATCTAATTGAAACAATTTTCGGTTGTTAAACTGTTACTAATTTGAAGGGTGTTAATTAGAGGTGGAATGTAAGTCTTAGTTACAGAGCGATCTAAAATGGAGGCTTCCATATTAATAGTTTGTCTGTCTACCAGCTGAGTTGATTCTTCCACTATGTCTGCTGATCTCCCCTGATAGTTAAGAGTTTCAAGAATTGGCACATTAGTAAATAATGATGTTATGTGTGGTGACATTATTTTCTTTCGATTTGCATTGTAGTCTACGACGATTTCTATAAAACTTGAAGACATATTTTACATCGAACCACAACAGTGCCAATGTTCTTACTGACCACTTTTCTGTTGAATGATACGGAAACTGAGATATATCTAGAGTAGAACGTAGTTGACATCTGGGTTTGTTAACTTGCAATTAACCGTTAAGTTTGACTGTATGAATGTCTTGCTATGACTTTAACTCCTTTTAAATAGTTTATTAAGTTCATTTCCCTTGTTCTCTTCCCCTGAATGGCAAGTTCCAATTCAGGTCACAATGGTGGTGATACAGTTTACTCCACCCATTCGGACCAATTTCCTAAACTTACAGGTAGCGTGACTCATGAACAATGCGGACACATGCAACATTTAGTAGGCGATTGCATTGGAAAGAATAAGAGTAATGGGGACAGATTAAATGTTTATCTCGACAAATTACGATGCATATCAACTGATCGGTGTTCCAGGTATCCGAAACAGCAATGAAAAATTATAGAAATCTACCTATTTCCTAAGTATCTGAAAATTTAAAACTGAAGCATCCTAATATTTGTTGCAAATCACGCTTGGAAGTATAATGTTTTTACATAGATGATATATAACACAATTCTGTACATGCTTCATGTTACAGAAATTATCGGTGATAATCAAGCAGTTATACCACAGCTTGATTTTTAGATGATTCGCAAGTATTCAAAAGTGACCAGGCATTAGTAACTTGTGAAGTCAATAAAGCAAAACCTGTTTAAATATTTTGTGCTCGTTTGGTTTCCAAATCTTCTTTCTAGCTTTAGACGTATTTATAGAAATTCGCATATGACTGTTTAATCGCTAATTCTTGAGTAATACGCTGTGAGCGTTTAAAAGTAAACTTGAACAATCAATAAAATGAGAAGTAAAAAACAGTAATTGAAAAAGTCATTGTACAACAATTCAATTTTAGACAATTACATTATCGAAGATTATAAGCGGATTTTATAAGTAAATCCTAGGCCAGTTCCTGCAAACAGGCTCGTCAAAAGTTAACTTGATGAATTTCTGCTGATGCTAACTAATGAACCGGCACTTCTATCTTATACATTTTCTTCCAATATTTCATTTCCTGTCTTGAACCATCACAATATATCGGACGGTAAGTTATATTCCGTCAAGAATCCAAATCAGTTAAAGTGTTGAATCACAAAAAAACTAGGGAACTCCTGGGAGCCTTTTCACCTTTGTTTTGGGCTCTATCGCACTGCATAATCACTATCCCGTCAGAGACCAAATACAGAATTTCCAGGCTATTGCCCAAGGCCTCTGACCCCTCGGCGGTCAAAAGCTTGACTCATTTCTTAATCTAAATGCTCTGAGTTCTAAACCTGAGAGTATCGTGAGTACGCATCGGTGAATATTCCTTAGGTAAGACAAAATGGCTGTCTAGTGTCTTTTGCCTTACACTGGTTCTCAAACAAATGTCAGTTTGTGTTAAAATCTACTCGTAAATCAATGAAGTTTCTGCAGTTTGTTATTTTAAAACTTCGGATGTTTTACAAATTCTCAACTGAATTATTCATAAAATTTTAAATAGTACCACTATGATACTTATTTAATTTATCACGCCACAAGTTTATCGTATCAGTCTAATAATACGTTATTGAGTCATTCAATTACTTTTTTTTTACCACATTCTATTTCTCAAAAATGTTCTCACTCCACCAACTCTATTGAAAGGTGACGAAAGTAAAAGAAGAACTTCAGTTGTTTTCGCAAAATTCTTTTCATCTGAACAAGTTATGAGTAAGATATTTACATGAGAAAGTTGAAAATAAACAACCAACCAAACAGAGAAACAAACACATACACATTCCAACTTATTGAAGATTGATAAAATAGTAGGGATTGAAAAGTGCAAAATTGGTTGTTTTTTTTTTTTAAAAAAATGCAATATATAGGGAAATGAAACAAAGTAGTAACTTTATTTTAGCTGCTAATGGAGTAAAGAAGTTATGAGAGAAATCAATTTGCATTTATTTCAACGATTCCTAGTCAATAATTAATTGCCCAGTATTCAACAATTCTTGCTTATTTTCTTTTTGAAATTTATGAATTATTTTAAACAACTCCATTAGTGTCTTTGAATAATCTTAAAAGAAAGAAAAAAAAGTAGTTGGAAGTGAATTTGTCAGAGTTGACAAGAATTTTAACATTCAGCTTGCATACATACCACTGAGTTGTTTTTTTTTCTTTTTTAAGTCATCAGTTGACATTTCAATTTTGAACAGTGTTCATTTTGTGTGCATATTAGTTAATTTAAGACTACGTTTAACATACATAAGTAATTTATCTTTACTTGATGATAATGTTGTACTTTTAATCGGTAATGAATACATATTATTGTAACGCATAGAATTCGACTTTTTTAATAATGTTTTGTTTAGTTTCGTTGATGATGTACACTCATCATCAGTTGATGAAGTGTACTTGTCTTCAGAATTATACGATTTTGTTAAATTTGGAAGTGTATGCATGTCAGATTCATTGACATGTGTATATGTACATTGATTGTTGACTGGAAATTTTTTGATTATTTCATTATCGGTATTCATTTGAAAGGAAATTGTCGATGAACTATACCGAATACCTGAACTGTATAGAAATTAGATAGATGAAAAAGAGATATTTTTTTTTAAATGTCATAAATAAAATACAGTAAAATTTCTAGGACACCTGAAATAGGTTGGTCTTTTCAAAGCAAAATAACATCGCTATTTTGTGTAGGTAGTGTATAATCATCTCGAATCAGATAACCACTGGTGACAAAGTCGGCTGATCACACTGTATTTTCAACTACCAACTATCTTATAAAAAGTGTGGATATTCGGTTAAATAGTATCTGTAACGGTTGCATTATTATCAATTCTTTAATGAAAGTATCCAGAAATTTCAATATGCAATTAGTATGTTGACAACTACAAAAGCCCTGAAGAACGGCCACTAAATACCTATCAGTTTGTTTATATATCACACAGTGAAACAGTATCATTTACTGGATGACGAAGTTGAGAACACAATTTATTATTCTTCATAATCAAATTAATTACAATCACATGACTTTTAAATTTGAGTTTTATAATTTTCACTGTTCTCTCCTATTTGTCTTGGGGGCAGTAGATGACAATTTTAAAATCTAATTTAACAAGGTAGGGCGGGGAGGGGAAGTGATAACGGAAGCTTTGTTTATCCAATCAACTGCAGGCACGTATAATAAGAATGATTCAGCAGCTGTCCCAGATATCTGGAAAATTCTACTATTGCTACGACAAATAGGGGAGGACAAAGAAAACTATAAAACTCAAGTTTTGATATGATTATGAAGAATAATAAATTGTGTTGTCAGCTTCGTCGTCCAGTAAATGATACTGTTTCACTGTGTGATATATCTAATAAACAAACTAATATGGAATTACTTACTACCTCAGTGCTCAAGTTTTACGCATACACTAAATACCTAGTTAGCAAACTTTCTTCATCAGTACTATAAACTGAAAATAAGTCCTTTTAGTTGATGACAAATAATATTGAAACACAATCCGAAAAAAACAAACACTTCCACTGAAATTTCAGTGCTAAAGCCTGAAGCCCTATATTCCACTTGGAACTTAAAGGAATAAAAAGAGTAATACTAATTCTTTCAGTTGAAAGGTGAGACTAGGCAGTAAATAAATCTCGACAGATTTCTACTTAATGAGTCATCGACGTTACTGTTCAGGAGACAGCAAGATAATAAGAGCTAACCCTCCTTCACAATGGTTTACGCAACAACATATATTTGCATTTACTTCCTAGAACACAAATAAAGCCAAATGCTTCGAGAGAATTTGAGTTTTTGCTAGTAGATAAATAAGACAGGAAAACAAAACGATAGGAGATCCTCTTGCTAGAACTAATACAATTGTAAACCTCATTTCAGTTTATAGTAATATCTGGGTGATAATTTAGTCAGAAATGTACTGTTACCCATTTGGAGTCACTTCTAAGTTGATTAGTGAATTCACTATGTACCAAATATTAGAACATAATTATAACTCTTGATGATACTATCAGTGACATTGTAGTAAGGCTGATGTTGTTTCTCTTACTAAGATTTGTAACGAAATGTACAAACTAAATCATAGAGAACGTTACAGAAACTATAGTTTTAATGGAATAACTTTAGTCGGTTGGTGATAAAACAGGGTGTACTTTCATACTTTAATTATAAGGACAGAGAATTAGTTGATTGACGGCTTACTTTGTCTCACCTCGAAGTTGTTGGGAAATAATTGTTGGAATTTTCTGTTTCATTAGAATCATTGGATAGCTTTGTAGGTTGAACTTGTAAAGATTGATTAGATGCGTTTATATCTGTAAGAATATTACCATCCGAGTTTGACTGGAAAGTTCTTTGTTCATGATGGTTGATTTTTGAATCAAACTGATTTGTGGTAGAAATTAGACGTTTAGGAGGCTGTGGTAATAATTTTTGTATAGATATAACACTTTTGTCATTTGCATCTGAATTATTTTCTCTTGTAAGGCTATTAGTTTCTTTGTAATTCAACCTGTCTGATTGTGCAGGACTTGCAGAAGTATTCGTAAGATGGATATATTCATTTTGTGTAGTCTGATGCACTGATGAACCTGTAGATTGGTTGACTACTTGGTTATCTGGAATAGTTGTATCTGAAGCCATAGTTTCCAGAGGACTGTTTACTGCGCTGATTGAACGAGGTAAACCTGTTGTGTTGAATGGATGATCAAGTGCACCAAAATCATTGCTTCCTTTTACCGACCAAGAATGTTTCAGTGTTCTAGATTTGTTTTGACTTTTAGACACCTGTCGACAGTAGGAGAATAAGTATATAATAATATTTCATATTAACCGTAAGGACTGTAATTATGTTGGCTCAATTTTCTGAGCCATTGTACAGCACCCGTAGGGTAAACGCAGATAAACTAGTTATGTAACTAATATAAAGAGGCCACGGAATTTGTTCAGTATTCATATGTGAGTTTGCTAGAAATATTAGATTTAAAAATGTTTCTCCGACATACAGAGTATACACTTTCCACTGTTTCACAGAACACTATCATCTATGAAGCATTTGCTATCAGGTATGTCAGAATGTATCCATAGATGCCCTGCTTTGGTTCTCAGTCATTTTAACTTAGATTTATGTCGTATATAGTATGTATTAGCCATCACACATAATGAAGCTGTGTCTGAATGGAATTTAAGCATAATCCTGAATGACTGACCTTTTAACGAACTCGTTTTATGAACGCTTTGTCATTTGATGCACATATAACATTCATTATTACGGTGAATTATTATTCTTAGGCTTATCACCTCCATTTCATCAGCATGTAGACTATGTAGTTTAACTACACTTAATAAATGTAAAACGTTTTACTTCTGTTTTTTTCTTTTTAGGTACATACTATCAATAAAAAATTAAGTAGTTCATAAGATATTTGAGAAATATAACTTATAATAAGCAAAGTGATTTATTGGCTGATAGCAACGGTAGTTGATTGTTTCCACTGCTAACCTGTAACTGGTAGGTACGGTAAAACTGTTTTACCATTTTACTTCCATAAGTGCTTTTCTAACCAGTTCCATATTAGAAAAGTTTATCTAAAATAATACACTATGATGCAGTATCACTAACTGGATGAAGTTTCGAGCACAAATTATTACTTATAACCATGTCAGTTTAGTCACATGGTTTCATAATTTGCCTTATATGCGTTTTTCTCCCTCTCCCTTACCGTATTGATTGTCGCCGCTTTCTATATCTGTGGTATAGGCGTCTCGTCGTTTCTTTTGCACATGTGTGGTGCTGAATCGACAAACAAAGATTCAGTGATAAACTTCTTTCTTTGTCCCTAGCTGACTATATTACTTTTAAATACTTTCATCCATATTGTAACAACAGAAGGCAAGACACGGAAGCCAAGGCATTGATTGAACTGTAGGAATACCTGAGGATCATATTCCGTTGACACACATCGACTGTATCACAGCACAACAATATAACTAAACTGATACGATTATGAGCAATAGTTTGTTTTCACATTTTCACCCGACCAATTATACTGCATCATTGTGTATCATTTCAAACAAACTTACCTAATGCTGAATTACATTCTATCCTGTCCAATACTTACATTGTGCTAACCAGTGTCGGTAAATGACAAAGTTCACCATGAGATCGCATTTATCATAAAAATAAAATGAGTAAATTGAGGTAAAATACATTATCATAACAAAACAATCCCACTGGTTAACAATAACGCATATAGAAAATCTATAAGGTAGTTAACATGTTTTACTCTTCTTCGACATATTTTGCAATAATCATACCTAATCATACCACCTATTCTGAATAATGGTTTGTTACTTACTTGAAGTAAGACGTATTCATTAGTACTAATGAAGAGTTCGTCACTGATGTGTTTAAGAAAAGTAATTCAAAGTTTAAGTGACGCTTTTGACGTATTGTCTTTATGAGTAGTTTTTTTCCAATGTAGAAAATAACAGGTGGAAATGTTACTTATCAATAGAGACAGGTCTGACACTGTAAACTGAAACCAGAGATTCCATTAATTCCATGATTATTTTGTATATTTTGTTACGCTAATCGTATTACTGGAAAATAGCATGATGTGGGAAAAGACTGGTCAACGTATATTTTTGAGAAGTTGCTGTGAACAGATAAATATGGAAGACAACGGTTTCAGTGATGCTGGCAGTTTATATAATTTGTCACAATACAGCTATTCCATATGATCTATATTATTAGCAGTTTTCGTCTACTTGATTTCTAATGATACTGCACTCAAACTGAACCTCAAGAATCAGTTAAAAATAAACTTTGTATTTCATGAAATTATTGTTTTTGCATTTCTCGTTGATTTTATTCTATTGAACTAAAATAATCTGTGTCTGTTAACACATCAGCTTTGGAGTTTAAAGGGATGGCTGCTGGGATTGATGAGCACTGGGAACAGCATCACTTACTGAAGATGTGAGCACATCCAACCAACAGCTTTAAACAGGAAGAGAGGCGAGTCCTGGATTACATTGTTGGCCATTCTCGATCAGAAACAACTTATTCATCAGGTATGATAAGTAAAAATGGAAAGAAACACACGTCATTAATACAGATTAGATTTAAACTCACCTCCTTTCTGTTAGCCAACTGTAAGAATTCATCATCTTCTAAACTTGTATTCTCCTTAGAAACTGTGTCAAAATTATTCAAATTGGGAGTTTTAGGTAGTTCACTACTCACAGTCGGTATTGAATAATTTGGCTTGTTTGACATATAAGCTGTATGCGGTGATACAAACTGAGGTTTGGTTGTGTTCATTTCATTGATGTTACCAGTTAAAGCTGATATGGATCGAGGCATTCTGAATGGATTAGAACTGCTCAAAGGTTTGTAGTTAGCGTCATTATTAGAATTTGTAGAACTGTCCCATTTAGAAAACGATGAAGAAGAGAGAGTATTGTGATCAGTTATTGATTTATTACCGCTTTGTACACTAAAAGATGCTGAATTTGGCAGTACACGTCGTCCTGCGGCGTACTAAGTGGAAAAAAAACAGATGAATGCATAAACAATATTTTGAAAAGTTTTGTTTCATACTATTTTATTCAAAGGAGTGATCATATTTTGTTTAAAACCTTACTCAGTAGTAAATGTGATATTAGTATTAATAATTCATATAAACAGTAATAGTTAATATTTGTATTCTTTTCTGACATTCCATCATTACGCATATCAAATATTTGAGGCGACTGATAGTTTAGCTTAGTAATTAGTACTTATTGAAGACAGATTTATTAGTTCCCAGGTGTAAGTGAAGTGGCAGATGAAGCCTAGCAAGTAGTGATATACAGTTCACAACACAGGAGAGTTTCAGCTTAGATGGGTATACTAAACGTATAATGATAACAGTTCAGTTTCATCGTTATTCAGTACAAATAAATCACGCATTTCATCGCTTCAGATTTCTCAAAACAAATAGTATGATGATACTGTGAACCTATAATGAACTATTCTTTTAGTGAAATATGAAACGCAAGGCCTGTAATGTGTTTTCATCAACTGAACATCACTTTAATAAAACATATTTGTACATAACTTCAAAGGTGTCATAGTCTCAGAATTAATATAATGCATTTCAAAAATGTTTTAACATTCCAGTGATTTTTTTCTACTTAGTCTGGGGCCAGGACTGAAGTCGATGTTAAAATGTTAGTATTTTGAGTACATTACCGAATTTTTGAATTATGCGTTAGGCGTATATTACATTATCACTTAGTTTGTTTCTGGGAGTCTGTCTTTGTTCAGCAGGCAGTAGTTGACGGTGAGATTCAGGAGGCCTAATTTGCCCTATTCGAGATCCATTATTTTGAAATGTTTTGTTTTCGGGAAAAGCAAATTATAAAAGTGTACACAGAACAGTGGTTTTTCTATATATATATATATATATATATATATATATATATATATATATATATATATATATATATATATATATATAGTGTCCTTTAGTGATTCAGAGAAAGTAAGTGGGAAAAGAACTGACGTTAAAAAAAATTGAAGCAGTCATGTATTAATGCTAGTTTTCAAAATATATAATAACTGGTATTTCTTATATTCTGAGAAAGTGTAAATGTCAGATGATCGGTCAGTATTTCAAGTTTTTTAATGACAAAATACAACCAACGAAAATAGTAATGCCTATTCGACTTTCAAGTGAACTTAGTATAAATATAAGAAGAGAAACAGCGTCAGATAGCTTTGATAGTAGTAGTAGTAGTAGAATAGACAACAAATTAGTATGCTGATGAATCATCAAATATTTTCGAAAAAGTTTCTATAATTTCCATGTTGTAAAATATGCAGATAATACTTACTTTACTTTGTCCCATAGAAAACATTTTTATTTGATCAACTGAGGCATTTACACCATTTGTATTTATACCATTTGTATTTGTCGAATGCATTGTTTGATCATTTTGTCCAATTCTACCAGATGTTAATAATTCTAGACGTGCTAACCGATCAGACATTTGATTTAACCATGTACGTAAATCCCAATTTTGACGTACTAACTGTTTAATGCATTGCTTAATAAAAAGTTAAGAGGTAAATGGATATACTTTGTTAAATCTACTGCATATGCATTTGTGCAGCAGCGATTTGTGCACAACAACATGTCATCATGAACTTTATTTCCCAGTAGTAAAAACTGAAGTCTGTCAGGGAAAATAATGTGAATGTTAAATTAAAAATATTTATAGACATGAAGACAGAATTTTCAGTCTTCCATTACATAATAGAAAAGACCTAAAATGGCCTGGAAATATATTTAAATACATAAAGAAAGGTAACAGTTAAGTATATCAAAACCGTTTTTGGTAGTGGATAATGACTCCAGGTGAAATGAGAATCCCAGTCACAGCAATATCAGAAATAGTGGCCTGTGAACGTTCAGTTCAGTTCAACTCAGCTCATGTAGTAGGTTGATTTGAAGGCTATTGCCTAGAATCCTGCAGTTATTTGTGTATCGGTGGCACAGTGGTTAGGACGCTCGCCGACTATGTACATGGTCCGGGAATCGATCACCGGCGGACGCACACCTGATATTAATGATCGGCCTGCTAAATTTCGACTACCGATATCAAATGCTGAATATTACATATTTGTATCAAAAATACTGTGTGGAGTCAAGCTACAATAAAATTTTAAAACATAAATGATGGAATACTGCCATTATTTGCATTTTTACTTAACGTTGCGTCATTGGTCACTGAGACTTTAAAAATCTATCAATCAAAAGCTATGATTAACAGTCTCACCAGTGAGTCAGTACAATTACTTTTTGTTATCATTTATTAAGCACACACTGATTATGAATTCCTTACTCCTGCTTATTCGTCAGAATCATTCGGTTTTCCGGTATCAGGACACTTTTAATTACAAATATACGTAAGGTATGTAAACTTCCAGCACTTTGTTCGCCAAGTGCTTGCTGTTAGCAATAGAATATCACCCGTGTTAATCAAAAATACTTCCTAGATATATCGAAAATACCTTGTCAAAATATAGATTTGAAGCGCATATATCGAAAACATAAGGGAACATGCAACACAGACAGTTAGTTAAATGAGTTTAGTATATATCTTTCTTATAATGTAACTACCGTCAGTGTTTGAGTTCTTCTTAGCAAATTTAGATGACGATTATACTAGATGCATAAAATCACTGGTAAACTTTTAACTGTATGACCCAGTAATTATGTATTCAGTTTTTCTTTTTGGTGATATTTTAGTTCAGTTAGTTATATGGTAATATCAAACAGAAAGTTATCTTTTTAGAATAATTATATCACTAATGGCTAAAATGACTACGTCCTTCGTCTTCCAGAAATTCTAACCAGTAGTAGGATATAATCATGAAGGGGCCTGACTTTATTGCATAACAGGCAATAAAGAGATAAAATGTTGTGGAAAAGGGGTAAATAGGTGAAGATATGAGAAAAACAGAAAGGCAAGTCAAATAACGCTAGACAAATAAACTGCATCTAGGACTAATATAGGGTGTAGCTTGGCCTTAACCACTAATACTGATTTTCTGATCCACATCAACACAAGAATTCTTAAATATTCAAGTATTGGTTTTGTCGGGATTTTGTTTGATTGCATGGAGGATTTTACCATGAGCTGACATCAGTTAGACAACCATTGGAAAACCAACAGGGAGTACTGGACAGGTGTTTCGTCCTAGTTTGGGACTCTTCAACAGTACGCACCCACCGGGGTTCGAACCCAGGACCTTCTGGTTACAAGGCGAGCTCGTATACCATTATACACTGGGACCCGATCCAATGGTCCTTGAATTCTAACTTCTGCCAATTCACGACATAGTGCGACCGCGCGAGCTCGTAGACCACATAGAGCTACCATTTCCCAATGTCTTCTTCGATGATGTCGTGAACTAGCAGAAGTTAGAATTCAAGGACCATGGGATCGGGTCCCAGTGGGTCAGTGGTCTACGAGCTAGTTGGCTTTGTAACCAGAAGGTCCTGGGTTCGAACCCCGTGGTGGGGGGTGCGTACTGCTGAAGAGTCCCAAACTAGGACGAAACAGTAGGCTGTCCAGTACCCCCCGTTGGTTTTCCAATGGTTGTCTAACTGATGTCAGCTCATCGTGAAATCCTCCATGCTATTCTTAGATACTTTTTCATTATTCTATGTGATTTGGATAAAAAACCTAAACTACTTCAGCAACTGTACCAAAAAGTGTTAAACTTCATGAATTGAAATAAATAATAAATTTTTGTTACAGGATTCAACAGGAAAACAACTTACTTGATGTAGGTTCGTGTCAACTGATGAAGTTGGCAAAGATGTTTCAGGAAATACTGTACAAATCGCATTTTGATCAGTGGTGGAAGTTTCTGGTAAGGCACTATCAGCTAATAGTGTAGTGGATAAATCGTTTGGACTTTGTAAGGAACCTAAAACGAAAGTTAATCATATTTACAGGCATTTGTTCAAATTTCACAATGACTGAACCCATTTTATTCGTCATGAGTAATAATGTTAAAATAGACTGGATAAGTTACGTAGGTGGTTGTTGTTGTGTTCTCTCAGTTGAATCATTTAATAGTGATAATTTTATTGTCCCATGGAGGACCAGAGAAATTCTTGAAACCAGTTAGGTTTGAAGTATTTCACTGTCCCCTTTAATTTTTTTTATCTTTACTGCTAAGGGTTTGTTGCGGACATTTTATGATGATTTTACACCGTAATAATTTCTCATTATGAACAACCATAAGTTTATTATTCTTCCTTTATTGATATGTAGCGAGGTCAGGGTCAGTCGGAAAATGAGTTTTTCGGGAAGAGGCTAAAGAATATTGTTTTGGCATGACTAAGGCTCAGATTCAGCAGAATAGGTGCCAGGATAACAATTATTACGCTTGCTTTTTGGTTAAGGACACCGAGTCCTATAAGCATTATAATTAGCTGGCCTGCCAAAGTCTAAATCTATAACACATACTTTCACATTTAAAAATTGTTTCGACAGGTTTACTACTCTTAAGACAGTTGCCCACATATTGTTTCTACATTGTTTTAGGTTATCAGAAGTCACTAGATGGAATTCTTTAGCAACTCAACATTATTGTTCAGTTTCACTTGTAATACTGCTAACATCAGAAAATCAGTATGAATTAAACTATCATATCACAGGCGATCTGGGAGTCAGTATTCTGAAAACAATCAGAACTATGTGTCCTACATCTTTTAAAGAAATCACGGCTGAAATATTCATCTCGTCAGAAACGAGATTTTCTTATGGTGTAGAGCAAAGTGCATGAAAAATCATTTGCCTCATTATAACACCACAGTTTTCATGAATAGAACGTTTTTATTTGTTTAACTTGGAAGGTGGCATGAGTGCATCCAACCGAACAATGATTTAAACCAGCTCTATGGTAACCAGTGATATTATGTGGTTGTTAGTACTTCATTCATTGGAGCTTAGCCCGAACACTTGGCTGATTTATCTAATCGCCAGCAAAATGAACCACATCTCAGACAGGACAATAGGCAACGATAATTTTCATTATTAAGTGTATAACCTATGTTTTAACCACCTTGAAATCATAACTCTAAGCAGTTAAAATTAAAACGTGTGTTGCTAACTTAGAGGAGTTATAAAAGAAGTAGAATTGACTTAAGGATTTATTAGATTTTATCTGACATGGCATTTTTTTCTCGAAGATATTACTGATGGAATTTCGGTCGCTAAACCTGGTGATCCTAATATCGCCTGAATTTTGTGGCTGTATTAACTGCAACCACGGAACTAAGTGCTCTCAGAACATTTGAAAAATCATGACTTTCTGCACTGTCGTATTACATATCCAGTGGGTTATATTTTTTCATCAGTTATACTTGAAAACTGCATGTGGAAAACGTTGTGTCCCAATAAGTACAAAATCTAGGTCGAAGACATCCTATGAATTACCTCTGACCAACTGACATCAGCTTAGAAAGAAACGTGATGGAGTGTCACTAATCATAGTGACCTTATTGATACGGTGACCAAGAGACTTCAGTCAGCACCAACGCTAAGGGCTTATATGCATGACAATGAAGTTCATCTAGTGACCAATCAAAGTATCAGGTTTCTGACACCGATAACAACATCAGAAATGCCATCATATTATAAAGGAAAACTATAAATTTAAACTACTATATGAAACAAATCATTTGAAACAGGTCTCATGCGGAATCTTGACTTTTAGATGTAGGTGTTATCTTGAATGTATAAAAATTCTTTTAAATGAAGTTGAACAGTTGTATAAGAAACTTTGTTCTAACTTACTTCCATTCAGTAAGTCCCTGGCAACATTTGTATCTAAAGATCTGCTTTGATGCATTCTTCTTCCTTGTTCTAGCATAAATGCAGTGGAAGTAGTATTCCCAGAAAATAAAGATAACAGTTCTTGTGTAAAAATATCAGTCTTTTCACTTTTATCTTCACCGGTTTGTAGCATCCAAACTAGATCACGAGTGGTAATGCTAGTCTTAAGCTTTGTATTTTTGTGTGAACTAGAATGTCTTTTTCTGTGTTTACGATGTTCATGTCTGTTGCGCACTCTTATCTTTTCGCCTGAGCACACGGAACTAAGTGAACTCGCCTGTGATGCTGAATGGTACGACATGGCATGACTACCGACAGAAGAATCTGATGAAGCTGACTCTTCCGAAGACTTAGATGAATCTGACTGACCTCGTGAATGACTTTGACTACATGCTGAAGATTCTGAGTCTGAAATACTTGTACATCGAGAATCGTGCTTTTTTCTAGGTGACTTCTTTAGGCCATCATATTTATGATGTGAAGTTGTTTTAGACTTATTTGTAGTTTTTCTTTGTAAACTGGCTTTACTGTGTGCACAGCTTACTATTGATTTACTCATGTCATTGTCAATATTTATCAGTTCGACAGTTTCAGTTGATGGTGTTATCAAATCAGCAAGTTTAACATCAATCAGCATTTCATCATTTTTATCGGAATCACTTAAAAGATCCTTGGATTTACGATGCTTCGATGATTTTGCTTCGTCATCTTTATGGTGTTTGCCTATGTCTTCATTATGTTCATCATCATCGTTTGTGTCAGTGTCATGAGCACTTTTCTTTTCTTTATGGCTATCTGATTTACGTGTCTGAGATAAAGAACCGCTGCCGCCTTTTGAGTTAACAGATTTTGGTCGTTTCCGTTTTGTACCACTTTTAGATGCGTGTTTTGAACTATTTCTATGCTTACTGATATCACCATTGTGTTTCTTTTGTTTAGCTGATTCATCTGACTTGTTGCTCAAATTAGCAGTATTGCTTGATTTCTTATCAGACTTAACTGGTTTTTCAACAAGTTCCTCTTTTTCGTCGTTATTATTACTCGCAGTGTTGTTGTCTTCGTTCGCGTCTGTCTGTTGTTCCTGTTTTTGTAAGGCAATTCTATGGCATACATCAAATGCCTGCCCAACTGTTCGAACTATTCGCATAGCTTGCAACTAATGAATAAAGAGAGGATAAACGATCAAACAGTTAATCTTAATTTAGAAAGTGGTGTCATAAAAGTCTATTTGATTATAGTGTTAGGCATGAACTAAGTGACCTTATTTGCACTAGTAAGTAAACCATTTTCTCTAGCTTTATTCCACCAAGCTTTATTGTTATTGTTCTTCTTATATTTATAATCCTCTCAATTTTTTTGTTTATTTTCTCATAAGTGTAAACATCATTTAATCTGTGTAATAACTGTTATTTTTGTATTTTCCCTCATCATACTACATCAACAGAACATTAGATTCAATAATCTATAATATGCTAAAATTTCCAAACTGAATGGTCAATACTGTTTGTAACAAACTCACTGTTTTTATTATCATTATTATATTTAATATTCTCAATTCGTACTACGAATATTTTTGACTTTATATCGCAAATGTGAACAAATTCCTCTGGTTACTTTTGTTTTATTTTTTATAATTTTATCTACATTTTAACTAAACCAGATGCAGAGTTATGACAAATGCTGAGAACTCCATCCTGTATTATAAGTACTGTTTTTGGAATAAAGTAGATTATTTAATTGGTGGATGGTGACTAGCATTGGAATCCAGGAGGCGCATTTCGTCCTATTTCGGACTCGTGAGGCGCCAAAGCGTTATCCACTAGACCACTTGGGCAAAGAGAGCCACCTCTTGTGCAACAGGTTATATTAATTTAATTTGAAACTATGGGCACTGGCTTCGGACCTCTATGGGAACATCATCACTTACTGAGAAATGTAGGTACATCCAGATGACGAGCCCCAAATGGGATGAAATGCGCCTCCTGGATTCCACTGCTAGTCACCATCTACCAATTAAATTCTAACTAAATGCTCAGACATCGTCGAAGCATCTGCACAAGAAGCCGATATGTCAACCTGAGACCGAGCACTTCGGTTCAATGAATCGACGGGAAAATCGAAAATTCAATTAAAGTAGATTATTATTATTATTGTTATGAGTAAAACAAATGCCAAGGAGAACTGAATAGATGTCTTGGATTTATCCAGAAGTATACAAACACGATCTTCAGAAGGTTTTAGCCAACTACTATCGCGTTCACCTAGCGAATTGTAATTCAGTGTCCTATCAAATTCCACTTAATGTATGAAAATGGTCTATATTTTATTACAAATAGATGTGTAGCTTTTAGCTATGATGCTTAAATTTCACAAGGAATAATGATTCCGTAAACTTCGAGTTACGTGCAAAAAATATTTCGTTTCTACATGTGACCAGTTTGCTTCAATGGTTTGAGGTGCCAACTTTCGGTTAGTTGGTTTAAGCTTGAATTAGTTGTGTTCTTTGAGCTGGTTGATTTAATTGCGAAGCTTTCGTCGTCCTTCTAGAGAACATCTTCAGAGCTGCCAGGCGGGTCATCACTACACTGCTATCATCCTCAGCTATAATGGGAATGAATGACAAGTAAATGTCTCTTTATGATTACACGTGATCAGTGCAGGTAAATGGTAACCTAGTCAGCAGTTGAGCTGCGCAGCTCAGCTGATAAATCGCCTGACTGGCGTTAAGAAGACTGTTGGTTCGAGTTCTACAGTTATCGAGACCTTGATTTTACCTATTCCACAAATACTGTTTGCTGACGTAGGAGTGTCATTTGACTTTGGGCTAAACATTCGGTCAAATGACTACCTGTGGTTCACTCATCTGTGAAAGTCGGTAACTGTGTAAAAAAAATTGTCAAAAAAGCTATGTTCATTCACTGCATATTACGCCCAGCTACAGTCGAACAATTTTTGTTTAGCTAATTAAATATTTGATCAAAAAGGGAATGCTTTAAACAACTGTCATTACTTTTTCAGTAAATATTTGTCATCACAACTTACTTTTTTATAGGCTTTGAAAACGTTGCATCTAAATACACTGGTCCTACTGTCCCTTGCTATGTAACTGAATATTTTCAAATCCTGTGAATCGTGTGATACGTAGAAGATTCTGCGAAAATAGAATAATAAAGTGTAGTTCAGTCAACTGTAGACACACCTGAATTGTGTGTAACAATGAAGCATGTTTTGAAACTAAGGTGATGATTTACGCTTAATATTACCAATAATATATGCTATTCAGTTGATTATTCGTCAGGGATTAGCATAATTCGTGAAGTGGTTAAATTCTAATAAAATAAATTGACAATTTCGCCCTAAGGGCAGTCAGGCAGTGAATTAAAAATGAATATACTCAGTGAAATCCTACACTCATAGAAATATCTTGATTGTATGTGAATTGATTTGGGAAGTAATGACTAGCAGCGGGGTCCAGGTTACGCACCTCATCCTACTTGGGCCTCGTCAGCTTCGTGTACCTGCATTCCTCAGTGAGCCAGGGTGTCCGCTTTGAAGCTCGAACCCAATAACCATCTTTTCAAATGCCAAAGCGTTCTCCACCAGTCCACTTGGGCCACGAGAGCCACCTCGTCATTCACCAAATTACTTCATGTTATTCCTCAGACCCTGCTCGGAGCCGATATGTCGACGGAGGCCAAATATTTTGATCCTTTCAGTCAGCCAGAAAATCAGAATTGAAGTAAAAATAATAACTTGATTATAATTGGGAAAGCAATGATTGCTAAAATTTCGACCAATAGAGCTATAGGTTTTGCTATCTGGTGTAAAGAGAGGACCAAAAAGTTAAAGTGTTCACTTTACCCGTGAAACAAATAATCACCCTAAAATCCCTCTTATTAAAAGTATTCAGAAGGTGTGCTTACAAGTGAATCGATACAATTCTTTTGAAAATTGAACCATACACTGGAGATTCAGTAACAAAAATAAGAACTCTTAACAGTCATAAAATAAAAATTCAATTTTTTAGAAGAAACTTAATGCAGTCGATAGTGGTGAAGATCAGGGATATACCTGTAGACGCGAACCAACAAAACCTGCGTGTATGAAATAATATACCGTATTTCTCATGTTGACGATTAGCAAGTCTACGCATCGTCACCGAACAGAGCATAGAACAGTAGTCAAATCTCTACATCAAAATCGACATCATGCATAATAATACCACAGGTCATCAGTGGAATTTTGAAGTAGTGTCAGGATTAAGACAAGGCTACCTAATATCATCAACGATATTCCTAATTGTGGTGGACTGGATTATGCGTTATATTGTAGGCAGCAAGAAAGTAACAATACTTTGGATCGACAAGAAGACTCTAGAACACCTGGACTTCGCGGAGGATTTATGTTTAACATCACACAAACTCTAAGACCAACAAGCAAACATCAACAAGTCGGAAGAAGAGTCACGCAGCGTGGATAGGACATCAAGCGAACAGTGAGAAGATACAGACGATGAAGATACCCAACAGCCAACAAAAACCACCGATCACTGTCAAAAGGAATAAATTAGAAAGAGTTCAACTCCTTCACTTATCAAGGCAGTATTGTTTCAGCTAAAGGTGGGTGGCAAGGATGAGAATATGAAAACTGGGATCGGAAAGGGGAAGCAAACCATTGTGATTTTGAAATCAATTGGGAAATCTGTTGCAATTGGTATAAATAATAAGATTCGAATTTTCAACACAAACGTCAGGTTACTTCTTTATGGATCAGAAACATAGCCAGTGAGTCACGAAAGTCATTTCTAACAGACTACCGCAGACTTCAATCATCGGTCATCGTCTTTGGCTGGATGCTGAAGACAAGGTGGCCAGATAAGGATAGCGACAAAGACTTCTAGCAACTAAAGACTAGAGAATTAATCGTCCAGTTAATATGGCAATGGACTGAACACACACTGAAGAGACCTCTGGGTGACATCGCTTGTCAGGCCCTTGAGTAGAACCTAAAAGGTGAAGGAATAACTGGATATCCAAGAGTGACATGCAGCAGGTCGTATAGCGAGAAGATGAGAAACTATGGGTTTTCGTGGAGCCAGATGAAGGGAACCTCAAATAACATGACAAATTGGAAATGTGCTACTGAAGCCCTATATTCTATTCGGAACCCATAGTAATAATAATACAGTAATAATTTCACATATTGAATGTATGTAGTAACTATTCAGTAAAGCAGATGAATCCATAAGTGAAAATAGTTAATGCTTGAAACTAGTTCATCAAATTCCCCCTGTTTCATGAAAACAGAAATCGAGTGATGCTGTGTCTATAAAACGACGCAGAAATTAAATTTCTGATGTTACTGACATTGTACATAAAGGATTTGATCCATACATAGAAATAGCTGATAATGCGGTTCCTCATTTATGCTTCTATTAGTCGATTTAAGCACACAGACAAGTTCAGTCTTGCATGTTGAATCGAAAGTGGTGATCAATAAATAAGGCAAAGCAAAGTCAACAACATTTAAGCCTTATTTTATTTATTCTGGTTTCTGTCAACAATTATAATAGCATAAGTTTTTGAGATTACTAATAATAATCATTCCAGACGTATGCAATTAATATCTACAATACACATAATGAGGATATATTATCTATCCAGCACATGTTCATGTCATCATGTTTCTATTTCACAATTTTAGACAAATTACGCGCTTCTATACGTAGTCCTTCTTGTTTTTCGTCGCATACAGATTTAGTTCAAACAGAACAACTTTAGAAGCAATCACATTCATGTCATTTCAACGTCCGATCTAAAATTATCACTAAATGATGATATGGAGTATTCTCAGGTACTTTTAACTGTGACTTAAATTTTATTTGATGCTAAAAGGTATTCACTCTTTAATTGGGATCATTCCCCTATAGCAGGAAGACGAACCGTGAATATGAATAGGTTTGTAAACAACCTTAAACATTTGCAAACATAACTTTCATGTATTTTAATTTTCCCCTGAACGCCAACTTTGTGCATCGGTAGCACAGAGGTAGAATTTTCGCCGACCATGTATGTGGTACGGAGTTCGACACCGGGTTGACGCTAAACTAGTAATAAGACTTGTGAAGAGGAAAGGTTGCTCATGAGGCTAGCAACCTATATCCTGTAAAAGTAAACACCACTGCTACCGCAACTTGAAGCCTCTAGCTTGAAGCCCTATGTCCCACTGGAAACGTAAAGGAATAAAAAACCAACTTTCATGAAGGATTGGAACTTAATCAAAGTCCCTACAAAATACATCTAACTATTAACTAAAGCGAAGACTGTTTTTTGACACTAATACTTTTGAATTTCTTGTTGATCAATCCGACTGGAGTAAAAAGTTCCTTCTCTGTTTATCAGCTGACTCCTAGTATGGACGCTTTGACAATGCTATATATATATATATAACATGATGGGAATATCATCATTGAGTGTGGAGGCAGATACATCCGGATGCCAGGTCCAAAAAAAGATGAAAAGTGTGTTTACTGTCGGCCACCACCAACCAGATGAAGTGAGGGTCAGCCTAAAAGCTTTTTGACAAGCCAATGCAAATAACTTGTATTCAAAAAGACTGTGAGAATCCTGATAATAAGTTATTCACCATTACTTGTCCAAGTTACTGTTGTTTTTCATTTCCATGACTTACTCGTAGCCGTCTATGCCATACCAAATAGCATTCTTAATATTTTATCATGCAAGGCTTTTATATCAAGACAAAAGATGGGGAAAAGGTGCCACAGCCTCGGATGAAGGGATAATAGTTGTATTGAAAAGAGATTTATCTTAGAGGGTTGACAAAATCTGTTGACAAAACTACTAAAACAAGATATACTAAGAGTGAATAAAGCAATCATTTAACTCACCTATATATTGGATGATATAATAAAAGATTCGATTGATGCATACAATCAAGCATAGATGTATCTCTTAGCCCTAAACCAAGCAGACCGCTACCAGCTGCTGAAACGGCATCATAATCTCCGACTGCACCATTAGTTTCCTTAACTGATGTTGTATCTGTAGTCAAAATCTCACTGAATACTCGTGTACTAGGGATTTGCGAAGAGGAGATAAATGTTCTTGAGACTGGCCAACGAATTCCAAACTGAAAAAAATTTTTAATGAGAAACATACATCAAAATAGTTTAAATTTATATGCAGCGCCCAACACAACTTATATGAATGACTAAATACTAATATTTCCTCAAAAAATATATCAAATAAGTCTTGACTTCACATCATTCACTTTATTTCTATCCATCTGGTACTGAATGTTTACATTTCTTCACAACGGCAGTTTTTCAGGTCTGAAGATGGAAATGTATCCCCCCATGGTCATATATAATGTGCAGTGATCTTCACTAGGGACGTTATTTGATGACTAGATTCGCTAGTCAACTACACTGGGAAAGTGTTTGGAGGGGGCTTTCAGATTTATCTATGCAATTTGTGGATCTAATGTAACTTCTAGTATGACACTGTAAGTGCATCACGTTCACTAAAGACAGACGCACAATTGAAATTGCACAGCTAAGTAGAATAAAAGGTGATTTTGCTGGATTACCTGTTTTTCTTAGTGTTTTATCATTATTTTGATATTTCAATGAATTACTCAAAGGACTGTCACGACAAAGAGTTTTATAATTTGTTAGATCCAGCAGTCCGTGTTACAAATAAAAGATACTTATTCTTACAAGTGTACGATTTTTGGGATTCCATTGATTTTGAAATAGATTTCATCTCAGACAGTTAAAGGACCGGTGCTAACCAATGAGCACTGGAAAACTGTTTCATTCTTACTTAGGACTCTTCAGAGAGAGCAACCAAGACCTTAAGTCGTATGGAAGCCGGAGCCTCAGAGTGCTTTTCTAGCTCCATTGACTCTGTTGTCAACACCAAATAATTCCCATTCAAAATATATTTCAGAATTTTCGACATATATCTTTCAAGCAGTGCGGTAGATTATAACGATAGAAATAAGTTGGAAATGAATGAATGATCTTGAGTATTGAATATCAGAATGGCTATGATATTCCCCATGGTTACAGATACACCTTGCTCATGAGTGCTAATCATCACTAAATCGAAGTGCAGGACATTATGCCTGTTATCACCAGCCACCTTATATCAGTAACTTCGGCTAGTTTACTAGCCTGTTAGTTTCTTGGTGGGTCGCAAGCCCGGGTAAAGAAGGAAGGTTGGGCATGGGGCTAGCGATCCCAACAAGAAACAAGAGACCCTGGGCGAAAATAGATCAACCAATACCCGATTGCTCAACAAATACGTCGAGGAAACGTTGAGGAGGCCATCGAATGACATCACGCGCAATGCAGGTCATCGCTCTATTGGAACCCCATAGGGAAGAAACAAATTGGCAGTGCGAGGGTAATATGGAAGAGGTCGCGTGAGCTAGAGATGAGAGATTATGGGCAAATATGAACCCAGCTGAAGAGGACGACAGAGAATAGGACAAAGTGGAGATGTGTTGCTGAAGCCCTATGTTCCACTCACTACCCAAGGAAATAATAAAAATACCTGATGTCAGTCTAAGGTGCAACGCAAAAGTCAGAGCTACCATGAATAGAAGATCTAAGCTTAAAATAAACTGATCAGGCTAGAACTCCAACTTGTTTGTGGCAACAGTGAAAACAATTAATATAAATAACTTTCTATAGTTTGGTTTGTAAGGGTGCGTACTGCTGATGATTCCCAAACTAGGATGAAACAGCAGCTGTCCAGTACTCCCTGGTTTTCAATGGTTCTCTAACTGATATCAATCCGTGATCAACTCGTAAAACATAACTAATCCTTACAAACCAAACTATAGAAAGTTAATCTGATGCTCGCTAGTGACTTGCTACAGGTTGGAGTTTCCTGAGTTCTAGTGAGAAGTCGTGACCAGTGAGGTCCAATTAGATGTCACGTGTGTGGATGGATGTCCCACCAACGACAATGGTTGGGGTCGCGCTAAATCACGAATTAGTAGAAGTTAGAATTCATGATCCATTGAATCGGGTCGCAGTGGCTGAATGGTATACGAGCTCGCTTTGTACCCAGAAGGTCCTGGGTTCGTATCCCACTGGGTGCGTACTGACGATGATTCCGAAACTAGGATGAAACAGCAGCTGTCCAGTACTCCCTGGTTTTCAATGGTTCTCTAACTGATATCGATCCGTGATCAACTCGTAAATCATAATATAAATAAACAATTAATATGTAACGGTGAAAACATTTTGAACAGAAAAGTAGTTTTTCATAAAATTTAAAAATAAGAGAGATCAGTATGATAAAAGGTATTCAAAACTGTGAAAACAATACTATCCAACACAAAGTTTTCGGTACCACAAATGTATTTTTTTAAAATCAATCAGTGGTATAGCGCAGATGATATTTATCCCTGCAAGTTTTGTTGTAAGTGAAATGCAACAGTGTGAAACTTTCTAGCTTTCAATGAAAAGAGAAAGAAAATAGCCCTCTAATTAATTAGTCTAAGCTTGTTGCTGAAGGCAATAATTAGTGACTGCACAACATTTTGTGTACTGATACAAAGAGGAGAGGAAATAATTCACTTATTACTTACTACATGTCTCTGACAAAATGCTCATAGAAATGTTTTCACTACACTCAATATTTGTGTTTATTTCAATCTTTAATGAATTTATTTACACCGTAGTGTCGAAATTGCGTATTGATAATATACACTCTGACACAAACAAACATAATCATTTAAAAACTCATCATCTCAACAATTAATTTACTCACTTCTAAAAGTTTACCTCATTAAAGAGAAAATATTTTCATTCATTACACTGTTATTTCACTTGTACAATTAACTTAACATCATTACACGAAAATTAGTGCACAATTTTCTGCTTATTCTTCACCGAACTAACTAACCAGCAAAAAGCAGTGAAAAAAAATAAATAAATAAATTTCCTGTTGTGAATTCAATTACTCGATTTTATTGGCATTTTATTACTATTATTCACCAACCATCCCACCCTCGCCTCCTCATTCAGCCACCTCCACCATCCTCTAGTCCTTTACTAGCATTACTTCTCTGCTTAACTCTCATGAGAATTTTTGTCCCACAATCATTGTTCCCTTCTTTAGCCTTAAAGAAAATTCAATTACGCAGAAAAAAAAGCAGGGAGAGCAGGAATAAGCAGAGAAAAAAAAACGCAACTTGGATAGATTTATTTTGTCAGTGAATGTTTTTCACCTTGAAATGTGATTAAGGATGAGAGGTGATGATGATCAAGTAGAAAGTAACCAACCGAAAGTCGATACAAGCACACATAGAGTATAAGTGTGTCTAAACACTTATTCATTTACATTTTTATTTGTCAGTCTAACTACTGAAATATACTACTTAAACAAAGTAATTACTTTTACATCACTTCAAGATAATTTGATTTAGATTATAAACTATTTAACAATGAAAAGTGTAATTCACTTTTGTTATTATTATTATTATTGTTGTTGTTACTTCAAGTGGGCAAATATTTGAGGTAAACCAATTTAGGCTGCATACAACGATGTATACCGGGGATATTATTTTCTTTCTAATATATATTATACATTTATGCATATACGTCAACAATAGTAGAAATCTAGTTATGTTTCGATTCAATCAGTGTTTGATGGAATTCGCTTAAATGAATATATATTTATACACATACTGTGATTTTGATTTTTATTAGAACTAAATAATTTTCTGCCTATGGCAGTGTCTCTATTACTTTGGTGAAAATTTTTATGCCAAAAAAGGTGGTTATTTACAGAATGTAGTTAAATTTCGAATATACACACATAAATATACCATGAATTTTAGAGAGAGACAGAATATTTTTGGAAAATATTTGATAAGAAAATAGTTGAATATATATATATATATATATATGTATACATTTTCAAGTTATCTTCAAAACAGAAAACACTAATGTATTTTATTTTCCCCTTTGAGTTTTTCGACACAACTGATACAATTTGAAACTAAAGCCTTTTTTGTTAGTAGCTCTCAGTATCATGTATGCATTCATTTATATTCAAATCAAATGGCCTCCTCAGCGTATGCTTTATCCATCTTCATTTCCTCCTACATATTTGTCTAGCAGTCAGCTCTTGGTTGGTTTCTTCTCAGCCAGAGTTTGTTGTATTTTTCTCTTGCTGGTGTATATTGACTGGCAAAAACAAAACTAATCCTTACAAACCAAACTATAGGCAATTAATTTGATGCTCGCTAGTGACCTGCTACAGGACGGAGTTTCTTCGAGTTCTAGTGAGAAGTCGTAGCCAGTGAGGGAGGTCCATCCGGTCAAGTGTGAGGATGGATGTCCCACCGACGACATTGGTTGGTGGTTGGTAGAAGTTAGAATTTATGATCCATTGAATAGGGTTTCATCAGTGGCTGAATGGCATAAAAGCTTGACTTGTAACCGGAAGGTTGTGAGTTCGAACCCCAGTGGGCGGGTGCGTACTACCGATGACTCCCGAAATAGGATGAAACACCAGCTATCCAGTACTCCCTGGTTTTCAGTGGTCCTCTAACTGATAATCAATGCGTGGTCAACTCGTAAAAACAAAAATAATCCTTACAAACTAACTTTAGAAAATTATACAAAACTGTGAATATTATTGCCTAATTCAAAAAACAGCCCGATATTTATAGAATTTTTTAAAATTCGGACCTGATGACCAGAATGACAAATTTCACATAATTTTGTTTCTTAGTATTCATGAGTAAAGCTTATTCATAACTTTATTGAAAGTCATTTCCTTCTACAATTTTGTATCTAAACTGATGGGTATTAAATTTAGAGAATACGCGATATAATCCCCTCTATTCCAACCCTTATTCTGTTAAATAACGCTACATTAAGATACCACCACTTAGTGATAGTTTCGGCTTTCTCTCATTAAGTACTAGTTGAGAACTATCGTCCACTTTTGGAGTGTGGGAAGACTGCATAAAGAACTGACATTATAGGTGTTAATTTACTTCATTCCTCTGTGTTTCAAGAGTTTTATGGGCATTCAGGTTTTAAAAATTCAGCAGTGCTGATGGGCTTCTTATTCCATGCTTGGAATTGCCAGTTTCATACC